ATATATATATATTTAAAGATTTATTTATGCATACAAGAACTAGGTATAGGCCAGAGGTGTGGGGGGTGAGCAGATTCACCAGAGCAGAGCAAAGAGCAAAACAGGCAGAATACCTGAAATACTCTGCTGAGGAGAGTAGCGGGCGGGTCAGGAGAGGTCTGCTGTGCCATGTGGGTCAGCTCCCTGGTAGGGAATTGAACTCATGCTGCAGTGGCTGTGCTTTAACCTGTTGCGCTACCAGGGAGGGCCCCCAATAAGTATATTTTGATTGGTCGGGTATAGCTCTGCATTGGGGCAGGGAGATCTGAATGACAGTAGTTGACAAGGACACTGTTGGCCAAGTTGGAGTCAAACCTAGGTTTGCCAGTACTTTCTCTGGCAGAACCTCTGGGTCCCTTCCTCTAGCACCTTGCCCGGGGGTTCACCATCTCAGCTGCATTAGGAGGAAAGGTGAAGACAGGAAGCAGTGGTTCTCTGGAGACTGCTGAGTGTCTGGAAAGGGACAGGCTTGGCCACCCAGAGGACTCATTGATTCCCGATGTATTTGAAATTTGACTTGTTCTTCTTTCCTTGTATCCTCTATTGAATTATTTAATTCCATCCTCCATTTCACTTCCGCTTGCGGTCATAAATGCTATCCAGACTTAGAAGTGCCTACAATAGTTTAGGCAGAACAGATCTTCCTTTCCCCATGTACCCATTCTGGGCTTCAACCAGGCCTATGCACAGGATGTCTCTATTTCCCAGAGAGGTAGCACATTTCCATGGTTAAACCCTGGCAGGGGGAAGGATTCAATTCCCTTCTGCCTATGATGTCGTAAGACCATAACACCATATTCTGTGTTCTTCAGAATTCAGGAACCTATTGCAGTTCTACTGCTGATTTGCTTATGTTTTTACTCTAAGGATACATTCTAAATCAATCACTTTGGATGGGGTGGAGGAGGTAGCCTGCCATGTGAGCAGGGGATTGAGAAGGAAAGGGAGATGAAAAAGGCAGGACAGTTTATTGGCAAGAAGTTCAGTCCCCAGCAAGATCAGAGGAGTGATAGAAGGGGAATGGCTTCAGAGCAGGGATTATCAAAGCATGGCCCAACCATCACTCACATCCAAAATAATTCTGCGCTGACAAGTCTCTATATTAATTCAATACCATTGCTTCTTCGTCTGGGGGGAGAGGCGGTGGGATAGGAATAAAGAGTTGGAATAAATCATAAAGAGTAATGCTTGTTGAGAAATTAATATGTGCCATGTGCTTTAGATAAATCATGTTATTCAGTCTTTCTTGCTCCCTAATGAAAAAGCTACTATTAAGAGCATCCTTATTTTAAAGATGAGGAAACTGTGGGCCTCCCTGGTAGTGAAGGGGGTTAAGTCTTAGCACTATGAAGCTATCCATAGCCACTGCAGCACCAGTACGATCCCCAGCCAGGGAAGTGACCCACATGGCGCAGCAGACCTCTCCTGTGTTACCTGCTGCTCCCCTCAGCAGTATATTTCAGCCCATCTGCCTGTTCTGCTCCCCACCCTGTCTTTGGTGAATCCTTTCACCCTCCTGCACCTTAGGCCTACACCCCAGCTCTTGTATGCATAAGTAAATAAATGAATCTTAGAAAGAAAAATAAAGATGAGGAAACTAGGGCACAAAGGGATTATGTCACTTGTCCAAATCATAAGTCTAGGAGCCAGGGCTCAAACCAAGTATAAGCCCAGCTCTTGCCTCTAGTCAAACTGATAAAATTTAATTCTTGGATCACTTGCATTAAATCACATGACAGCACTTGTTTAAAAAATCATAGTTTTGAGAACTAATCTAGACCTACTGACTCATTTAGTACTATATACCACAGGCGAGTCAAGGATCTGCTGTGCTCCTTCCCTGTCTTGACAGAGCAGGTTTCTGAGCAGCTGGACTGACAGTTCTTTCCACACCACCTCTTCAAAGAGGGCTGTTGCCCCTCCCGCCTTGACCCTGCACTGAGGCTTGATTCAGATCCATGGTGCCTGGTGAGCCTCCCAGAGTGGACAGGACTTCTGTGGAGCCGATGCCAGGGGCCTGTTCACTCTGTCTGCCCAAGGGAGTGGCTGACAACTGCCAGGGCCAGCCCTTCCCCATCAGAAGGCAACAGCTGGCCAAGGAATCCCTTCCTGACGAGGACCCCTTGAATCAGGCAGGATGTGTGGACCTGGACCTCTGGGCCTCAGTTTCTCTTTTCATAACACGAGAAACAATCAGCTTTGTCTCTGCCCCTTCCTTCTCCCCAGGAAATGTGCAGAACACAGAGTAGATTTTATCAGAAGGAATTCTGTGCTCCAGAGAAAGGCACTAACAAAACCATCAACCTCCCAAACTCACAATAATAAGACTAATAAGGACATGAGATTAACTTGGGAGAGTTGAAGGGGAGCCATTTCTCATTGTTTTTGAAGACTTGAGCTGTGAAACTTTGGATTCATTATTGATCATAACTTCTGTACAGTCCTTATTGTGATTCAGTCCTAGCATCCCTGACATTCGAGCAAACACCTCTGCTGCTAGAAGAGAAATTTCCTCTCTTGAGAACATGTGAACATGGACTCAGTTTGGGGCACGTCACCAGTAACCAGTATACCTACCCATCAACCTCCCAGCACACACACACACACACACATACAAGAAAGTGAGAACTGGAAAAGAAAGAAATTGAGTGAGGCAGACTTATGCTGAATCCTGATTTTTACACTTTTTGATCTTTTGCAAGTCAACTAACTAGTACGTTTCTGCCACTTTAAAATGGGAGAATAATAATTTCTGCTTTTTCTACTATGCTATGGAGAGCAAGCTAGGCAATTAGTAAATGTTAAATCCTTTCAATACTGGACCATGGGTGCACAGATCCAAGTGTACACACAGCTATTCTTTGCACAGGTTTCTACTCAGGCATCTTCATGTCAGATGACATCCACTTGTCTGCAGGACAGGACAATGGCCACGCGATACTCTCAGGCTCAGAGCAGCCAGCCGTCTTTCCAAACTCTGATCATAGTTTGTTGGGCGTCAGCCTCTTCTGGTTTGTTTTTTACTCACATCAGGACTCTGGGGACTTGCAAGGAGAACGATAAAAGCCTGGCCAGTTTGGCACGGTGCCCTGCTTCCCTTCCACATAAAGGCTGTCTACTCACAGGCAGCTGGCCTGAAAAGCTGGGCCAGGTCCGGCTCAGCATGTGTTGCTTTGCTCAAAAGACCTGCTAACAGGAAAGTGTCTGGTTCCTTTCTACCCCAAACAGGAAGTGTCTGCCACTGTCCGGAGGGAGTTCTTGGTAGTCTGGTCGTATACAAGAAGACTCCCCTGATGCAGTGGACCTTCCATGTAGGTTTCATGGGAGACTCACTTCCCCGGCCAGGAGGGCTGCCTCCGCGGAAGCTGGGGGCTGAGAGGGTGGTGATGATGGCTACTATGCCTGTGGCACCTGGTGGACAGCAGGCTGTCATCCTTTCAACTGTCATCTAACAGCACGTGTTACTTATTCTGTGCCCCATGGGAGACATTAGAAAGTCCTAGACGAGGTCTCTGAAGTTGAAAGTTTACAGACGAGTCAGAGAGACAAAGCATGCTATTTTCCCCACTTGCTTATTCGTTCATTAAGTACAAGATTTTTCCCCCTCCCCCCTCCCCCACTTTTATTTTTTTAAGTGTTTCAGGCACTATGAGAGGCATTCACTATGAGAGGTTCAGCGATGGCTAGGCAGCCCAGCTAAAGAACAAATGGGCCTTAATCATGGAGGTAAGTCTTGAATTGTGTGGCACCATCTTGAGCTCCACAATTATTTCAAGACGCAAAAGATCTCCATGACCTGGTTTTTAGGCTGGTGCTGGAGCAACAACCTCTGTGGCCCCCTATAGTCTGCTCTGGAGATTGCAGCCAGAGAGCTCCTGGTGAACAAAGTCAGAGCACGCTGGGTCTCTGTTTAAATGGCTCCCTCTACTGGCTTCTCCTCTACTAAATCCACATTCCTCACAGGTCTTGCAAAGCAGACCGGAGGTGGAAGCACTGGGAAGCCAAAGGGGATGGAGACCACTGAGAAATTACCAACAGCAAGGGCATTAGTCTCTGTAGGCTGGAGGAATGCTGGGAGGACTGGGGTCCCTGGGGGAGACTGGGGTCCCTGGAGGAGACTGAGTCTAGAGAAGAGAGCTGCTGTCTGAGGCAGAGAGAAGGGTCAGGCACAGCCCCCTCCTGCCTTTCCTCTATAGTCCAATTTCCACCGCACACCTAGAAGTGACTGCCTGAGGGAATCTCTGAAAGTGAAGGCTAGCCTGCAGGGGTCAGATTCCCAAGTGAAGACTTGAGGAATGGATGGAAGCAAACAGGTTCAACAACACTTTCCTTATGCTTTCATCTCAAGCTGACGTGTAAAACTTAACCTGCTGTCTCCTTAAATATGTACACTGAGGCCAGAATAGTGAACATACAGGGGCCAGGATTTTATAGAATGAAGGAGGGGCAGAGATTAAAGTTTGTTGTAGATAGTTAAGTCTAGGCAAAAGGCTGGAAGGCAGGAGGGTGAGGAGTCCATCTGTGAGATAGTCTGTGGTAGAGGGGCCTTTGGAAAGAAGCCCCTGAGCAGTGCAGACCTGGGAACTCTGTTTCAAGTTTGGGAGAACAAGGACACTGTATAAACAACACTGGGTTTGAGTCGAAGACCTGGGTGTGAGCATCTGTCCCTAACTGGAATTGGCTGTGTGAAGCTGGTAAAGAATTCCAATTACCTGAGCTTCAGTGCTCTCATCTACAAAATGTGAACAGCAGCCTATTAGATTCTTCACTTTTTGTATCTTCATTTTTAAAAATTTTATTTTATTTAAAGATGGAGGGGTTTAGTCTCAGCACTACCACCTAATGGCCCTCTCATGGTAAAGCAGCCTGAGTTCCATCCCTGTCAGGGAGCTGACCCACATGGTGCGAACCTTTTCACCCACTGCTCCCCTTAGCCATGTATTTCAGTGGATCTGCCTGGTTTGTTCCCCTCTGTCTCTGGTGAATCCTCTCACCCACTGCACCTCTAGCTTACACTCCAGTTATTCTATGTAAAGATAAAAAAATAAAAATCTTACAATAAAGAAATAGTTATCTTTTAAAAATATTTATTTATGTATACAGAACTGGGGTACAGGCCAGAGGTACAGGGACAGTGAGAGGATTCACCAGAGACAGAGTGGGGAGCAGAACAGGTTAACCTATGTAGTACACTGCTGAGGGGAGCAGCAGGCAGGTCAGGAGAGGTCTGCTGGGCCTTGTGGATCACCCCGGGGCAGGGATCATTAGCTTCTTAATGTTGTGCTTTAACCCACTGTGTCACCAGGGAGGGCCCTGTTTTTCTTTTTCAATAAGATTTTAAAAACAGATTTATTTATTTATTTATGCAAACAAGTACTGGGGTATAGGCCAGAGGTGCCAGGATTCATCACAGACAGAGTGGGGAACAGAAGAGGAGGATTGAAATATGCTGTTGAGGGGAGCAGTGAGAGTCTGATGACCCATGTGGGTCAGCTCCCTGGCTAGAGATGGAGCTCTTGCTGTAGTGACTGTGGACAGCTTCATAGTGCTGAGATTTAACCCCTTTACCACCAGGGAGGAAGCCAAACTTTCATTTCTTTAGCTTTGTTTGCTTGGACCTGTTTAGAGGGTTCTTTGGCCCTCTTTATCTGAAGTTGAAGGTAATTACTGCTGGTTTAATGAAGAGTGATATCCTCATGCTTTTTTTTCCCCTCACCGGGAGGCATTCTAAACTCATTGCTCTACTTCTACCTCAACTGCCCCTCCTCCTGTTCTCTATCACGCTTGCCCATATGGGAGGCTCCAGAATTCTCTCAACTTCTCCCTCTCTGCTAGCCCTTCTATCCAAATTGGTCACCAGATCTTGGCCACTATACCACCTACCTAAGTAGCTCAGGGTTCTCTTCTCTTACTTCCATCTCCACAGCTACAATCTAATTTTAGGCCACTGTGATCTCTCCCCAGAATTACTACGTTGGCCATCTAGGTCTCTCGGCTTTTAGGCACCTTTTTTCTCCACACATTTTTCATACTGCAGTCCAAAAATGCAGATCCCATCTTATACCCGACCTTTAAAATCTTCTGACAAGCACTTCCCACTGTCTTCACGATAAAACACATAGTCCAAAAGTATTTTGCAAGGTCTCAGTTATTTAGTTCCCCACTTTTCTGATCTCATCTCCTATTATCCTTCTTTCTATAGTCTCTTCCCTCCCTTCCCCCCACATTGAATTACTTTTTAACTAGCCCTCAACACACTTTCCCCCACTTTTTCACTTGGTCAGCTTCTGCTCAGCACCTGTGTGGTTTGCTGCAGAGGTCACATCGTCCTCAGGAAAAATGTCCAGTGTGTTCCCTGATCTTTCACTAGGCAGTTCAGCATAATGGTTAAACCCAGGACTGTGGTGTCTGGTTACCGACCGGGATTCCATTCCACGTTGGCCCTATTCTAGCCGTGTGACCTAAGGTGAGTGAATTCTGCCTTCTCGTCTGTAATGTGGGGATAGTGTTTCATCAGTGTGCTGTGAGAATTAAATGAAATGATGTAAGGTGCCTGACAATTAAAGTTAGCGTTAATAGAGGACTGAAAACTAAAACTTCACACCCCTTCAGCTCCCCCGCGCCCAACTCCACCACATGCCCAGGGTCCGGTTTGTGTGTGATTTCCTTGTAATGCACACGTTTGTTCCAGTATCACCCTGTAGTCTACTTTTTATTCGACAATGTAGTTGGAACAAATCGAAGGCGATCAGGGGTCAGATCTTTCCGTCCCCAAGCACGTCGACTCCGAACGCCCCCAGGTGGCTCAGGCTTTCTTCAGCCAAAGCGGAGCGACCTAGGACATACCATTCGAAATATTAGGGGAAGAAAGGTCTCTACTAACAAATGGTCTGTGTTTATAAGATCGCTTCTCTTTGATCCCTAACTTCAAAATCTGGCGGCCCCAATAAAGTGAGAAATAGCCGCGACTAGGACGCAGAGAGAAGGTTGGGCTTCCCCCCCACCCAATTCGCGGCGTTGGTACTTTCTCTTCTCAATTCCCTCTCAATAATGGTACTGTCCGCAGAGGGGTGAACAGAGAGGGATCCTGAAGTCCTCAGGGGGCGGAGGCCGGTACTAGCACAGAACCACCCCTCCTTCCGTGTAGCTATGGTACGGCTCGCCGTCCCCTGATTGGCTGCCGCGGGCCCGCAGTCGGGCTCAGCCCGCCGTGCCGCCTTCAGTTCAGCTCCGGCCGCCGCGCCGCCTGGCTCTGGTATTCCTTGTTCTCGGCGGGCTCTGGGGGCTCTGCTCCGCGGCCGTTAGTCATGTCGGGTAGGTGACTCCTTCAGCGAGCAGCGGCAGCAACGAGAAGGGGCCTGGCGGGGTTGGGCCGTCTTCCCGCCTACCGGAGGGCCCCGAGGGAGAGCCTCCGGCCCTGAGGGAGGCTTGGGGTGGGGGGGCGGCCGCGGCCGCCGCCATGTTGGACTGGAGGGACGCACGCTCCCAACGCTCTCGGTCTGCAAATCTCGGCGGGAGCGCCTCGGGCCCCTGCCCTTGGAACCTGAGGAGACTTGTCGCCCCGGGGGGAGGGTGTGTAAATCGGGGGGCGGACGCCGTCTACGCCATCAGAGGGGCGGGGGGGAAGCCCGTGAGTAGAGCATCAGCCTGAGAGAATCGGTGCTTCTGGTTCTCCGCTCCGCCTCAGATCTTTCAGCGAGGCCTCGGGCCAGTCATCTCGCCGCCTCGTACCTCAGTTTCCCCATCCGTGAAGTGGAGCTGGGCCTTCTGACTCACCCATTCATCAGGTGGGGGCCTTCTCGCTCCGGGAGCCCTTTGAAAGGACGTTACCTTACACGAAATCCGTCATTCTCTGTGCAGTCACCCCCCCCCATTGAAATAGGGGTGTTCCATTTAATCCAACTTCCTCTTCACCCTTCTCCGTCATGCTCCTCGCCCCTCTCGCTTCTCTCCTTTACGAGCTTGAAAGTGAGCCTTGTCTATTATTGATAGGCCCCACTAGGTACAGGTGGCGTTTGCCTTCAGAAATGCAGCCCAGAGAAAAGGCAGTCTTCCATGGAGCACTTAAGTTGATAGAGTGCCCCGTGGGGTAGGAGAGAAGAAGAGGCATTGGTCCCTGCAGGACAGCCAGTTCATTTCCTGCTTAGCCAGAATATAAAATCTGGAACGTGGATGTCCTCTTGATTTAGCTGCCTTAGCTGATCACACAGGGACCTCTGTTGTTGGGCTACATCACAAGCTGCAAAGACCCAAAGGGCAGAGGCTTGACAGTTTTTAAAAGGGAGAACCTGTTAGTATTAAAACGGCCTCACTCCCTGAAGTAACCCGCCTTTGCAGAAGAATGAAAAAAGTGACCAAATTAGCAGTATTGATTGCACCGAAGAAAAAAACTTAAGTGATTAACATTGAAGTTAAAGTGCCAGAGTATCAGTCTTTTGGGACAGAGGGGATCCCATCTAACAGGCTGTACCTGCTCAGCATTTCTTTAAACTTCTGTTTAATTCTTGCCCAAACAAGAAATAATTTCTTACCCCAAAGTAGCCAGTGGTGCAGTAACTTTTGTCAGGGGCGTACACTGGGATGAAGTCGGTAAAATTCCAGAAGTACATTGTTAAGAGCATGTGTAACCCATTGTGGTTTAAAATAATAAAAGATTTTCCTGCATTGATGGAGAGATTTACCAAGTTTGAGTGCAAATGGTACGCAACTAAAAACACTCTTGATTTTAAACAAATTATTGGTATAAAATAAGGCTTATTTTTATAGGGTGGAGTTGCTTTTGTGGAAAAATAACGTTTAGGGGTTTACTCTTTGTAAATTCAAAATTTTCAGTGTGTCATATTAGGCTGTTCACTGATTTGACTGTTAGTACTGATTTACAAATGACCGAATGCCAGATATTTATCACTTTGTAATGTGAATAATTTTATACTGAGACTGACTTTCTCATGTGAAAACTGTTAATTGCTTGCTTCTGAATTAAGCCATTTAAAATTAGAATCTAAGTTCATTTATAAATGCATGTATAAAATACTTTTGACTGTATAAAAATAGTAATGCTTTGATTTGTTTTTTGATGAATGTTTAAATTAATAAATTTAACCGTAAACTGCCCTTAACCATCTAATGACATTAAGTTTAGTTAAGTTCTTTCAAAATTTCAGGCTACATTTATATTTAATATATTAAATTGATCTAACCACTCCAGGTCTCTGACAGGGCAAACTTACCAACCTAATAAAATATAAATACAAATAAAAATAATAAAAATTACAAATACTGTAAGTCAGACATGCAAATGCTGTTTACAAATGTGAATTTTATGGTACATAAAGTTAAAATCACAAATCTAATATGTTACACATATGTATGTCAAAATAATTCTCACTGTGGCAATGTGGCAGGGCATGATAATGAATGAAAATCATCTACAAACACCTAGAAATGGAAGAAATTACAAAAAAGAAAGGACAAATCCTAACTGCCAAAGTGAAATAGAAGCCAGTGTGGTACATTTAGAATTAAGTTTAGTGGCTTCCTGGAGAGGAGGAGGTTGCAGGTCTCATTATTAGAGACTTGGCTTTTATTGCCCAAGTAACTGAAAGGACAAGAGATGAAGCCTGACATACATGTTTGAAGGACTGTATCTTCAAGGAAATAAACTAGCGTAGTGATAACAAGGAAACCTGGATCCTGAGTGGAAACAAGCCTTTCTGAGGATTTTTGCCATTGGGAACTTAGTAAAATTTAGGTGTATATTTAACTGGCTTTGACATCCAGGAAACCTACCTTAAGATGAGAAGTTAACATAAGGATTGGTTTTGGACTGGTAATTTTGGGGTTCCTAGTAGAAACATGAAATTTCTGGAGGCAATTTTAATAGCTTAGGTCATAAGGGATCTCAGAAAAAAGTGCCTTGCAAAAAAAGATGAAAATACGTGAAAAATTGCAGAACTCCAGGAAACTACAAAAATAAGAGACAATCCAGATTATAATTCCTAAAAGTAATCTGAATGACAATATGTATTTTGAGTTGTAAAGGACTTAAAAGATCAGAGGTGTTAGAGCGAACACTACATTTGAAAAAAGAACAGTCTATGTAGGTGGTAAAAGGTCAATAAATTGAAATGCAGATAAGCTTAATACAAGTCTTTGGTGAAGTGGAAGATAAATGTGATATAATTACCCCTATTTCAGAAGGATAAAGAGATGAGACCTGAAAGATTACATGAAAATTGAGAATTCCTGTAACATCTTGTGTGAGTTTGAAAGCAGAAATTGGGGAAGAATTAGAGAATTTTGCAAAATTGAAAATTGAGTCTTTTGAGTCTAGCAGTAGTCTCGAGCCAAAATTAAATTCTAAACCTGTATACATTGCTGTGAAGCTGCAGATAATAGTAACAAACGTGGAGGGAATAGGGAAATATTAAATAAAAAATAAACATTAAATAAAATGGTAATATTCATGGATTTCTAAAGGTTTTAAGAAACTGGAAAACAAGGTGATCCTTGGAAATGAACCATCAACTTTGAATTTTTTAATCCAAATAAAAATAAATACTAAGTACCACTTTCAGGCCTTTGCAGAAAGATGAGAATAATTAGTATGCAAAAGCAACAGAGGAAACAAATTAGATAAAAATCAAATACAATGGAACATTGATTAAAATGGTTATAGAGATTTTTAAAAAGTGGAAGCAAAAGGTACAGGGGGAAAAAATGGAAGCAAAATGACAGGTGAAAGCTGTGATTGGCATTAGAGTATTAAGATTCTTAAATTCTAATGGGATCATTTGAATTTTATTAAGAGTTGTTAATTGAACATAATCATTAAATTGTGAATAGTAACTTAAAAAGGCAGAAATTAAAAGTACAACTTCTAAAGCAACAGAAGGAAAATTGGGAATAAAGATGCAATTTGTGGAAAAGAAAAAATGATGGTAAATGGATAGGTAGGAATAAATAAAAAGTAACTATAGTTAAAGTATTAAAACACCAGCTGGAAGACAAATTTCACTTTTGGGGAAAATGATCTAAGTAATATGTTCAAAAATGATATACTTGAAAAATAATGTTGAAAGCATCAAGATGAGAAAAGGCCAGCCAGGCAAAACCATAAGGATGATTAGTTGTTTACAGTGAAAATGGTGTGGATATTTTACTGATAGTCTAAATGCAGTGTTAAAAATAAATTTACCTGGAAGATAGGAATCTGTACTTCTATGTGCCAAACAGTATAGCTTCAAAATAGAGAAAGTGAAAAAACAGAAGATGTTGGCAAATCTAAGGTTAAGAGTTTAAAAATAACACCTCCAATTAATAGATCAAGCAGACCAAAAATTAGTAAGAATAGGAATGATAAAACCAATAAGCATCATAGACTTTGAGAATTCAGCTATGAAAAAAGTTCTTTTTGAGTGCATATATACACAAAAGTTATCAATGTGGAAAATTAAAAAAGAGCATAGCCTAACAAATGCCAGGAATAATGCAGGAAGTATCTTCCCTGACTGCAGTGGAATGTAATTAGAAGGCAAAAAGAAGAAAACCCTATACTCTCTTTGGAAATAGCACTTCTGAGTAATTTATGGGTCCAAGACAAGGCTTAATCAAGTTTCAACTAGAATGAGCAGTTTGAAATTTCATAAATAATATCTATAAACTAATTTTCTCTGATGAATATAAAACAGCTGCAACTTCACTGAAGCATACTAAGTAAGGCCAGCCTTAATTGGCCAATATGCTCATTTTTTTATCTTCTGGACTTTTTATTAAAGACAGTTAAGTCAGATTTTATAACTGAAAACTGGGTTATAGGTAAGGACTAAAACTTAATAAATTTAAGACAGGTTCACATGACCTAGGTGTTGTATACTTAAAATTCTGCCTGAGCCAAAGAGGAGTATGCTGAGATCCTGGGTTCCATGTTGTTATGGAAGAGCCCATGTCCACGTCTTGGGATACAGCTAAATTGAAGACTTCATGCATCCCCAAGATACCTAAAGTGTTTGTCATGTATTTCTTCCCCTCTTTACCAGTTTCTGATTTGGGTGAAATTATTCTCATGGTAAATGCATCTTTGTGATCCAGATGCTGTATCCTTTGCTTATTTTTCCCCTTTTTTAAAAAAATTATTTGGCTGTTAGCTATAAATCTATAGTCATTGTCAAGGGTATGGCAGTAATGTTTAATTTTTTCACATTAGGTAACTTTCCTACTCTGAAGTAGCTTGTTTCAGCATTTCATTCAATATTCTAAGTAAAAGTTATGTTGAGTCTGAATGGGGATCTTCTAAACTGCAGTAATGTGGCAAATTTGCTGTCACTAATACAATCAGTGATTGTGTTTTTGTATTGCAGCTTTATATTGGTAAGATTTTTGGTGGGCTTTCAGAGTTCTGACAAGTTTCCTTTCAGATTGGATGAGGTTGAGGCTGATGGTTAGTTTGAAACTCACTCATTTTTTCGCAGTTGAGAGTATTTGAGTACTTTTATCACTAATGAACTTAAGTTATTCTTTTGATTCTGAATAGAAGCCTAAGAGTTGAGCTTAAAAGCTTTGATTTTTTTTTTTTTAAGATTTATTTATGCTTATGAACTGGGGTACAGGCCAGAGGTGCAGGGACGGTGAGAAGAATCACCAGAGACAGAGTGGGGAGCTATGAAGTACACTGCTGGGGGGAGCAGCGGGTTGTTCAGGAGAGGTCTGTCATGCTATGTGGATCACCTCCGGGGCAGGGATCGAACTCATGCTGAAGTGGCTTTAGCTTCTTAGTGCTGCGCTTTAACCTGCTGTGCCACCAGGGAGTGCCCAAAGTTTTGATTTTTAACTGACATTTTAAATTTTTTCTTTTTTGACAGTTTTTAGTTCATGCTTCTCTTGGTAGTTTTTATTGTTAAAAAGCAAGCTAGAAGCATAGGTATCATTAAGTTCATATACCAGTTGGCCAGTGCCCTAAAGCTCAATAAAATGTGGTTAAACAGCTAACCTAGCTGCTTTTAACAAGTCTTTGAAATGTTTTTGTTGCTCTTGACAGTTCAAGCAATCTAGTACAGGGAAATAGTATATATGTTGGACTGGTGAGGATACAGAAGTAAATGTAATTTTGGGGATTTGTCTTGTCAGAATTCATCTTCCTTGGCCCTGATAATTTTTTTTTTTTAAGATTTATTTATGCATACAAGAACTACATACAGTACAGGCCAGAGGTACAGGGAGTAAGAGGATTCGCCAGAGACAGGGTGGAAGCAGAATGGGCAGATGGACTGAAATATACTACTGAGGGGAGCAGCGGGTGAGACAGGAGAGGTCTGCTGCACCATGTGGGTCACTTCCCTGGCAGATGGACTGAAATATACTAAGGGGAGCGGCAGGTGACACAGGAGAGGTCTGCTGCACCATGTGGGTCACTTCCCTGGCTGGGGATCGTACTGGTGCTGCAGTGGCTGTGGGTAGCTTCATAGTACTGAAACTTAATCCCTGACACCACCAGGGAGGCACCTGCTCCTAACAAATTTTACTGCATATAAAGATAACAGAGTTTTTGTTAAAAAGAATAGATTTTCACTGATAGTTTCATATTGGTTCATGTGACCATAAGGGCATGTTTATAGAGTAGTTGCTGTCAAAGAAGTAGTTATTATAAAAAGTAGATTTGTATAGATTTCTTCTTGCAGTGTGTTTTAACTTCTAGTTTTGCCTTCTTTACATTTTTATGATATATTCTTACTATATTTGTAAGAGCTAAAATCATTCTTTGAGGGAATGTAATTTTAAATAAGATCTAAAATTCTTTTTATGTGTTTTAGATTCTGGAAGTTACGGTCAGTCCGGGAGTGAGCAGCAAAGGTAAAGTGTATATACATTTGAATAATACAACTAAAAAGTAGAACTGAGAAAAAGATGAATTTAAGCTTCTTTCTGAGATTTGATATCCAATTAAGATAGTTAAATATTTGCTTGTCATGGAGGAGTCAGCCTTTGTTGTATACACATGCTATAAAACTTTTCTTTTTTTAAAAAGACAATCAGTAAATAATAGATAAATTCTAGAGACTAAAACACATCTAAGTATTGTAAAGATTATATATTCTTTAGAAAATTTAAAAAAAATCCTTATTAAAAGGATTTAAGGAATTGAACTATAACAGATACTTAGGGATAAAAACATTTTATTTTTGATTATATATAATATACTAATGGTTTTTACAGAACAGGCTTTCTTCAAGTGCTACTCCTTAACCATGATTCCAATAAAAACTTCTGTTTTATGTGTATGTGTGCATGCAGTAGGCTACTCTTATCAGAAATGTAGCCTTCAACTTAAAAAGTTTTGCAGTTAAGAATAGTGTCAAGGATCTCTTGTCATCAAAAAACTGACTTTTTTCTTCTCATAAGATAATGCTAGCCTCATAATAGGCATCTAGCAAATGTTTATGCGGCGAAAAGTATTTTATAGTTTAATTTTTTCAGCACTTAATAGCTCTAGAAGAGTAAAAAAATTAATGTAAAAATTTTAATTTTTGACATGTTCAGAAAGTTTGTTTTTGACTAGCTAGAGCTTACATGCTTTAAAATTAAATTCAAATCTGAGGAAGTTACATTTGTTTATTTTATCCAGTAGCAAACTACTCCATTCCAGGCTCTGCTATGACTCGGGATACTATATAATTTCATTCTCTGATAGTACTCTGAAGATACACATAACTTATTACTGAGGCATTAAAATTAGACTTTTATTAGTGCCATACTGCTTTTTTTAGGAAGTTGAAGACAAATTTTAAGGTAAATGGTAAGAGAAATTAATCTGTCAAAACATAGCTAAATTTATTAAAGTGCTAACTTAAAAGGCCATCATTTTCTGTTTCAGATACTTATTATAGGTCTTGCTGCCATGTAGTTTCCTCCCTTCTGTCCCCTCCCTTCCCTGCACATTTCCATAAGAGAGCTATAATTCTCTTGGGATTTTCTAGGACCGTTGAAGTTTTGTTTATCTATGGGAGATTGTCAAAGCGAAACTTGTGGTGTTTGACATTGTGGAGGTCTAGGAGTGACTATATCTTTAATAGTCTTCGGTTATCACCTTCCAATTTAGAATAAGACAGGCATTTTCACAGTTTCTCAGCAAAGAAGCTTGTATTTGAGTATAAATGAAGGTATTTCTTTAAGCTTTTAAGTTTTAGCACATTTCTTTCAAATAGTATATTTTTATCTTACAGTTATTCTTCCTATGGAAATCAAGGCAACCAAGGTTATGGACAAGCACCACAAGTAGGTTAAAATATATATTGTGTTTTTAAATAGTTATTTTTATCCTAAGCAGGTGACAAAACTTGTATTTACCTAAATTTCAGAACTATTCTGGTTATGGGCAAGCGACAGATTCATCATATGGACAGAATTATGGTGGCTACTCCAGTTATGGACAGAGCCAATCAGGTTGGATTGTTTTCTTAACTTTACTGTTTCAAAAATGAAGAAAATCAGAACCTTTACTAAATGGTATGTTCTTCCATTCTTAAGGTTATTCACAGTCTTATGGTGGTTATGAGAATCAAAAGCAAAGTTCATATGGCCAGCAATCTTACAATAACCAAGGACAGCAAAACACGGAATCATCAGGAAGGTAAGAAATCAATAAAAGTACTGAGAATGTTGGGCAGTGGGGTAACAGTTGGTGTAGTAAAACAACAAACCAAAAAAAATCTAGCTTTCGCAAAATAACTTTTCTGAGAAGTTGCAAGAGAGTATGGGTCTCACAGTTTTGTGTTAAGAAGAATGGTGTGGAAATTGACAGCTTTGTTATTTGATGTTTAGAATGTATTTTTTGTAAAATAATTGTTCAGCTGTATATAAACATACAACTTAAATGTTAAAGAGAAGAAAATGTTCGGATGCCTTTATACCTTAGATTAGATTTTAAAAAGTACGACTTACCGAATAAAACCTCTCAATGCTTACTTTATTTATTCCCTTTCTATTTTTTTATCTTTTTTTTTTTTTTAATTATTTATTCGTACAGAACTGTGGTACAGGCCAGAGATGCGGAGGGTGAGAGGATTCACCAGAGACAGAGTGGGGACCAGAACAGGCAGATTGATGAAGTACAC